ATATCTGAGAAAACTTCCTCTTCTTCTTCTTCTTCTTCTTTTTCACCCTCCTCGGGGTATATAACGATGGAAGGGTCCGTTGTGTTTTTTGTTTTTCTTTTTTTCTTCCCACCGGTTGAAGTGTCAGAGTGTATGCGTTTCCCCCCAATTTGTTTTTTTAACCCCTTTTGTACATTAGTGGGCGGAGGATTTGGGTAATCCTCTTCATCGGAAGAGAAGTTAAAATTAACGTGGGGTGGAGGGACATTTTTGGAGCTATAGCGCGCTCCTGGGCCATCGTGATTGGACGTTGCTGGGATTTCGCGAGGTGCAATTGGAGGCGTTGCAATTTCAGACGCGCCAGAGCCACGCGCTGATTGTCCAGCGTTAGCGGGTGTATCGAGGGCATGGTCACTATTATTGGAAGAACCCCCATCTCTTGGTAAAAAATCGTTAAAAGCATCACGTTCACTTACCCCGTTTGTAGTACCATGATGAGCGCTGGTGGTGGATGAAGATGCACGGCGAACCCCATCCCGTACACTTTCTGCGGCTTTTTCAACCGTGGATTGTAATTGAGAAGATGAAAGAGGAAAGAAGGAGACAACCAACTTTCTCAATTTCTCCTTAAAATTTAATGAACGTTGAGAGTTAGATTCGTGGGAAGACATACCGGTTAAAAAATGATAGAACTGATAGAACACCCTAACAATATATGACACTTGGCCGTTAATTAATACAGACACCTTAAGACCCCGCCGTGAAATGATGATCCCTGGAGAGGGGTTACGTATATATCAGGTCGTGGGAGACAAAAGAAGTCCAAACAGGTCCACAGCGAGACGATCGCTGAAACGTTTAACAAGCTGTTCTCCTCGGTTTCTTTCAAAGAGTAATTGCCATTTGAAACAGCGAGACGATCGCTAAAATGTTTAACAAACTGTTCTCCTCGGTTTCTTTCAAAGAGTAATTGCTAATTGTAACATGTTACACAGAGATGATTACTGTCGTTTTTTAACGAGCTGTTCCCCTCGATAGATGCCTGCGTTGATTTTCTTCGCCACCGTTAGAAGAGATTTAAAGCTACTCGCTGGCAGTGTAATCCCTTTCTTTGTCGGAAAAAAAGGCCTCCTGAACCATAAAACTCCCGAATGTCAACGTACACCTTCCCCTGAAAACTCCTCACTGTTGCATATTTTGGTCGTTTACTATCACCGCCTATATTAAACTTGCAAATATCCATGCCACTGGAAGTAGCCTCTATGGCGGGGGGTTTGCTAGCCACGGCGATCTCATACTCTGGTTTGGGTTGTCCATGCACAGCTTTCTCTTCAAAACCCTCATCCTTCTCTATTTCACGCGAGGCGGTCGCTGGTACAGGGTCTGTGTACGCATGCAAGTCCATTTTTAACTCGTTTTCACGAGAGTTGTCCCTCGTCGGTGACATCGACGTCGAGCGTGATGAATTGTAATAGCTGTACATCGTTGATGGAAGGTCGGGATGTTGATACGACAAGCGTGTTCGATTCCCACCTTTATAGCTTCGGCCTCCTTTAATGATTATGTAATTGTCTATATTTAGAACTTTTACGCTCTTGTCCCTACTTGTTTCGTAAAGAACGTTTTTCTTACGTTTACAATTTCTTTACTTTTCTTTTGTTTAAGGATTATACATGAAATTTCTTGTTTCGTACTTGGCCAACTTCATGGTCTTGTCGAGGCGTGTCGCATGGATGACGTCATTGGGTCGTTGTGCAACACCATGACGTCATTTGCACCGTGGTACCCATGACGTCATTTGTTTTTCGTCAAGCACTACGTCATTGTTTATAATCCCCCTATTGTTTTTAAGGATTATCTTTTCATAACTCTTTCATACGTGTCTAATCCCTTCGTCATTCATCCCTCGCGTTATAATCCCTTCCGATATCATCCATACATTTATAATCCATCGTTGATATCGCGTAGCGAGGTAATCCCTCCTTTGTCTTTCATTTCTTTAATCCTCTTTCCTTCATATTCTATTGTTTTTGCTTTTAATCCATTTCATAATTTATTATCCGTTAATCCATTATTCATACTTCATATTTTAATCCATATTTCATATTTTAATCCATATTTCATATTTCATATTTCCATATTTCATATTTCATATTTCATATTTTCATAATTATTGATCCATATTTCCATAATTCATATTCCATTGTTTGTAAACAATAGGATCATATCATAATTCATATTTCTATTGTTTGTAAACAATAGGGATTAGTATGACGCTATACGTACACCTATACTACTTTCCCCCCCCCCCCCTCTCGCGCGAAGCGCGGAAGCTTTGACGTTTCATTAAGTTATTAAAGAAAGAAGACGATTCGTTGTACCGTTCTCGACTATTAATCCTTGTTTGAATCAAGCCCCCTTCCTCTGCGTGTAGCGCAAAAGCTCTGACGTTTCATTAAATTATTAAAGAAAGAAGTCGATTGGTTGTACCATTCTCGACTCTTAATCCTTGTCTGAATTCGGTTTCCCCCTCCCGCGCGAAGCGCGGTAGCTTTGACGTTTCATCAAATTATTAGAGAAACAAGACGATTCGTTGTACCGTTCTCGACTCTTAATCAACCGCCCCCCCCCCCCCCCGCCCCCCTGGCTACGCGCCTGTATCCTCTCTGTCTTTTATTACCTCTCTTTCCCACTCTCTACTTCTTTTTGGCACATTTGAGCTTCGCGCTTAACATTTAGGTCGTTGCTTTTTAACGCTACGGCTTTGCATTTGGCGCACTGCATTTCTATGATGCTGTTGATTGAATGAATTGAATAAATCCATCAATTCCTGATGAAACCGTATGAGCGAGAATTCAATTAATTCTTGTCTCATATACGGTTGTCTCATTTACTTCGTTTTCTATTTATAATTATATGTATGTATTATGAAAATGAGATAGCAAAATGTGTATATTGATGGTCATCTTGCGAGTAATAACCATTAACTACTCTCATCGGGCTCTCATCATTAATTTTTCTCTTCATTTTTTTTGTTTGTGATGGTGAATTATTGGGGGGGGGGGATGATTGTACAGGCCATCCCCCTACCTGACTATTGGGGGATATATCCCCCCCCCCCCCCATCCCCCCAGGATCGACACCCATGCATGCAGATCATAATAATAGGATAAAGGGCCGAAATCGGCTACCGTTCCGCCCTTTCAAAGAAAAGAAAATAAAGGATGGGCTTTCATACTATTAGAGGCCTTGGAATCTCCTCCCCCAAAGGTGGTTTAAGAGAACCAGCGGGAGTAAAAATGAATTAATCTAAATTCATTATATCTGCAGTGCTTTGAAATAGGCATAATAATAAATGGAAATTCCCTTCCAGACACGGGGGGGGGGGTCAATCCACATGCACGTCGACATTCTGTACTCCTTGACAAAAAAAAACCTTCATATAATATTATGTGAACCCTGCAGTGCAGTGCATACTTGGCTCGTCTGCATGCACAAAATTATTACGCTTATCAGAGAATTTTGGTTTGTATATAGGCTTCATCATGAACATATTCTTGCCCCCTCCCCCCCCCCCCCACCCGTCCATGGATGGACAGTCCGAGCAGCTAATTGTAGAACTTCATTTGGTGTATGCTAAGTCACGTTTGTTTGTCTTTGCATTACAAATATTTCAGACTGACTTCATTTTTTATGATGGTTGGCTTATTGATCAGGCTCGGCAACTTTATACAAGCCTATATAAACAATATGAATATGATTTATTCAGATGTACAATTTCATGAACAGTTATGTGTTGATAAATACATGTAGTTAGAAATACAACATACAACTACAATGATATACAGTAAATAAACTACACTGTCGCTCATAAAGTTGGAATATTTTAGTTTTACCCCAATTTATGGAATTATTTTAAAAATAATTTAAAAATAATAGATCTAGATAATAGTATACCTTCTCAGATTTTATTGAATAATAATTTGACAATGTGTGTTTTGCGTGACTGCTAAAGCATGTGAATGCTACTATACTAGGGTACCTACGCCGTTAAGTCATAAATGACGGTAATGAGGATTAATGCCCCACAAAAGGGCACTAATATGGCACATCGACACGGTTTTGATCCTGGGGCCTCACAGTTACAAGGCCATTGCTTTGTCACTTAACCATGACAATACGCAGCGGGGGCTAGGGTAGGGGGCAGTTTCAATAAATAAAAAAAAACACAGAAAATGCAATAAATTTTCAATAATTTATTGCATTTTACCCCGGCCCCCAACATAACAAAATCCTCTGGTCGGCCATGCATTATGGCTCAAGGCATGGGCACACAGAGGATTTTTTTATGTTGGGAACCGGGGTAAAATGCAATAAATTATTGAAAATTTATTGCATTTTCTGTTTTTTTATTTATTTATGGAAACTGCCCCCTACCCTAGCCCCCGCTGCGTACAGTCATGGTTCAGTGACAAAGCAATGGCCTCGTAACTGTGAGGCCCCAGGATCAAAACCGTGTCGATGTGCTATATATTAGTGCCCTTTTGTGGGGCATTAGTCCTCATTACTGTCATTTATGACTTAAGCGCGTAGGTCCCCTTGTTGATAAGCATTGTAGCATACACATGCTTTAGCAGTCACGCAAAACACACATTGTCAAATTATTATTCGATAAAATTTGAGAATGTTTACTATTATCTAGATCTATTATTTTTAAATTATTTTTTAAATAATTCCATAAATTAAAACAAAAATATTCCAACTTTATGAGCGACAGTGTAGAAGAAAATACAAGAATTGTGAACTTTATATGATAATGAGTTTTAATTAACTCAGAAGCTCAGTATACTTAGTTAAAACATTTTGAGTTTGTTCTCATTTTTGACAAATATGCTTTATATTTAATTTGTTTTCAGAGCACAGTGCATGAGAAAAGGAATCGTCTAGATTGGTGTATGTCATGTAAACACTGCCAGCGATGTGACGTGGTATTATAAACATAGAGATGACGTCATCAGGCATTGTTTACATGCATGCAGTGACTGGGCAGTTTTTTGCCAGCTTATGCAATCGGATATAAGTTAGTCTCGATATTTGGTGGATTATTTCTATTATATGACAATATGACAACGACAGAGCCAGTCCAAGAACCAAACTTAAGCACAAGCAGTGAAAAGAACGGAGATATGACGAGAGGAAGCGGAAACGAAAGGCGGATTTGCCAAGGAAGGTGCAGTACGAGGCGGAATGATGTTGACGAGTAAGTTGCGGGCATTGATTGGCAGTGACCGGATGACCTGGCGCGGTACGGCTCGGGCACGGCTGGCTGGGCAGCTGCATTGCACGAGCCAAACTGCATACAAAATGATACATGATTGTATATGAAACGAATGAATTCAAAATCAAATGTCATAATACTAAAAGATTATTTTTGGAATGTAACTGTAAGACAAACATACACGGTATGCATGTAGAAATGGAACCTGACTTGCCATTTGGGGGGGGGGGGGGTGGGGGCAAACTTTTGAAGCCCAAGCTTAGGCAGTAACGCTGCCTCATTAATTATACCCACAGGCCACACTTACATGTAGTTAAATCGACATTGAAAGCTGAAACTGATCCATAGAATTTTGCGCTTGTATATTTTAGGGAGGCCAACTTAATTAAAAAAGCCATATTTTTCATTTCTCGTTTCTGATCGACACTTTAAACTAATTGAAATAGCTAAATTGAATGGCAATGTTAAATGAGATGAGGCAAATTCACAGAGTCTAGATCCATATTCATATAGATGCACATTCATCACTTCATTTTGTTATATTGTTATTTTTATTATTCATAATTCTAATTTGATTTTTTTTTCTTTTTTTTTTTCAGAGAAGGATTCTTGTATCGATGGATGCCAAGATGGAGTCCTACTTCAGCAAAGCTTCTAGAAAAAGCAGAGGAGAAAATTCTGGAATGTAAGTTGAATAGGACTGTCACTTTCAAAAGAGAAGATTATGGGTTAATTTTTTCATCCATTGACTACTGAATTCTCTGATTCTCATATGTTTACCGGTAATACAGGGGCTACAGGTTTGTCATACACTGTAGGAAGTGTCACACAGACATGATAGTAGACAGGCAGTGATCTTGGGCAGTTCAGGATCTAAAAGTCAAAGCGCAGTTCTTAGGTTCAAAACATGTCACTGGCATCACTAGATGCATGCTCCCATTTGTATGTGTTGCAATATATGCACATCTCTACTTACAAAAGTAGGTTCACTAGGTTGTTGTCACAGTGCTGATATTTGGCACATTCATTCTCTATATATAGCGATGGAGCTATTGTATTAAGGAACAAACTCTTTGCAGTGGTGTACTGATGAACTATGGGAGGGCATTACAAGACATTGTCTTACTAAGGAGCCCGAAAAGACAGAGATATAGAGATACTTTAGAGATGTTCCCAGGTCCCAGGTTTTCCAAGATTAAAGATAAACTCCAGTACTGGTAAAAAAATAATAATAATTCTCACAGAATCAAACGAAACTTACACTGAATGTTCAAAATTACAAATAAATGACATGTGCCAAACAATTTTGGAAGAAAATGTATACTGGCTGAGTAATGAGCATAGAAAGACAAGGAAATCAAGGTAGTACTAGCCCCGACACCATGTGTGTTGTCCCATATATAGCTTTCTGTGTGAGTGCTTGTTACTTTACCAAGACTCGTTCAAATTTATTATGATTTTGATGACTCCAGAACCTTGGAGTGCACACCAATACTTACATGCTACATGATCAACTGTTTCTGATCCTTTCCACACCTTTTCTTTCACAATGCAATCGCATTACCAGTACTAAAGTTTATCTTTAAAGGAAAGGCTTGTATGATGCAAGGAAGTAAAAGATTAATTGGATAGAACGATGTACCTGTACTCATACCGTCTCATAGGCCTGTGAACTTTGTAATTGATGTTAACCAACTTATTTACCGTTATAAATCTCTACCCAACTCATTTTCCACCTCTGTAGGTCTAACCGTGCCATACGAGTCATTCTTTGTGGAGATCGACGACGGAGAGAACAAAATCAGAACCATTAAGATGAACCCCTCCAACTCCACCAAGACGCCGTACGTCCTCGTCCACGGCTTCGCCAGTGGTGTTGCACTCTGGGTAATGAACCTTGAGGAGCTATCGGCCGACAGACCCCTCTATGCCATAGACGTGATGGGTTTCGGGCGCAGCTCGCGTCCCAAGTTCCCCTTTGGACCGGAGGCTGCCGAGGCAGAGTTTGTTCGATCGATCGAGGAGTGGAGGAAGGCATTGGGACTGGAGCAGATTATCCCGGTAAGATTTATGCTACAGATAGTTTGAAAGGAAGATATATGCTGTACCTTCCCCGGCGGTAAGATCAATGAAAACAACCTTGAGGCTGTAGCTTGCAAAATTGCTGTAATTATCCTACATGGAAATGTAGTTTGTTGTTTTTCATTACATCAAAAATTATTTACATGTTGTTTCCAATCACAAATCTTGATTGATCGCATATTGCAAGCATTATTCATTCAAGGGCAATGTTCCTGTTACAACAATTTATCAGCAATATTTACACTATGAGTCCATATCTTGTTACAGTATCATGCTGAAAACCAGAAGGATGTAAACTAGCTACTATATTTTAATTTTCACTGAGTTAACTCCTGTTTGGCTCCAAATAGATGATGTCTTTGTGAACAAATTATATTTTAGTACAGTGTAGCTGCTAATTGCTATGTGAAAAGAAGACAGCTGTGCTGGTCTTACCATTTTAATTCGATAAAAGCTTAACTTTTCCAATGAGAAACAGAGGGAAAATTGCCAAATAAGATGGACGGAGGATCCAAGACATTGATTGATGGCATCAAGAATTGGTCAAGAATGTCCTATGAGTAGTAAATAAGAAAGGCTTAAGACGAGCACCAAAGAAAAAATATAAATAAAACAGAGCAACAAAAAAAAAAAACAGCTGAAGACAGAGCTACACAGATTCATCTCACATGTTCTACAGTATTGCCCCAGCAATCCCCAAAAAGCTAGATAGTGATGAATCAAGGTGAAACAATAATAATAAGCATAAATCCATTTCCTTTCTTTTTGTACTTTTTTTAATATTCAGGTTGGTCATAGCTTGGGTGGTTTCTTATCATCGGCCTACAGTCTGGCCCACCCTGAGCAGGTGAAACACTTGGTGCTCCTGGACCCATGGGGTGTGGTCAAGAAGGATGAGGAGAAGACGATAGAGATGCCTTACTGGGCTCGTATCATAGGAACCATCGTCCTGTCCTTCAACCCACTCTCAACCATCAGAGCAGCAGGACCTCTAGGTATATACACCCCGAACTTTAAAGCCCCACTGCACTACTTATAGCCTCTACATAGCAAACAATGCCTAATCGGTGACCATTAGTCCCCCATGGTGCCCTTTTTCTTATGTTTATTGAGAGCTGATTTGATGAGATAACCACCTGTCAGTGACCAGGCAGGGAGGTCTAATCTCTCCTGGCCAAACTAGTGCAGATAGGCTTTAAAACATGGACATTAACATTTAGCTGACTAGAGACATATCAAAGTCTGTAGTCTTGCACTCATCAGAGTAAACTACAAGAAAGTTAAAATCAGACAATATAAGCAGAAACTAAAAAAAGAAGTGCACAAATAAACCAAACATCTAGCTTGTGTTTACACAATTGCTATAGTCTAGAAGTCTTTTATAGTTTTCTCACTTTTCTCATGACATTTCAGGGCCCTACTTGATCAAGAAAGCAAGAGGAGAAACAGTCGGGAGAAAGTTTTCGTCCCTCTTCAATGACGACCGCGTTACACAATACATCTACCACTGCAATGCACAGTATCCAGCGTAAGTATTCCAAGAGTTATAAGAATTTCACCCATGAAGATTGCTAATCCGACGATGCTTGTAGGACTAGGCTTTTTCATTGATCATTTGAAACAAATCTCTTTGCTTCATACTATGAAATTCATCATCATCTAAACTTGAAACAAGGACCACACTAAATACGCATCACCTGTCTGGTCCTCGTCACTGACCACTGCTCAATCCAATGACATTGAACGTGTGCAGAAAAGGGTCTGTCGAGTCATCCTTGGTAGGTATGACTCCTACCGCGGTGCTTTGGATTACCTCCGTCTTGATTCTCTCCACTCACGACGAGAAGGTCTTCTCCTCTCTTTTGCATGTGACCTTCTCACGTCAGCTCGCCATCGTGACTTTCTTCCAAAGTCCCGACCATCACTGTCTGGAAGGCAGTTACGCAACTCACATCTTCTCCATGAACCAAAATGCAGGACCACAAGATATTACAATTCTAGTATCCCATCAATTGTTCGTTTACTAAATAGGAATCCCGACCTCCTCATGTAGGTCTAGCTATTTAATCCTAAACCTCTATCTGAATTTGTATGTAGTTTTATGAATATGTTTTTGATTAATATGATTTTAATAAATAGAAATTTGATGAAATGCTGTTTTTAAGAATTTTATTTTGAGAAATATAATTTTAGAAATATAATTTAGTTAAATGCAATTTTGATCTGATAAATTATTATAAAAGATATTCTCATTGCCAATCTATGCAACTTAGTAGAACAATGTATATTATCTGACTTTTAAAATTTAACTTTGATAAATCCAAGTTGATCAATGCAATAATTATTAATGTTATTTCAACAAATGTAATTTAATAAATGTAATTTTATGTTTTCAAGCCGGGTTTTACATCACAAATTCATGAAGATCATACATAACAATATTTAATAATTGTATTTTATTGATTTATTTTGTTATATATACTTCAAGTAAATGTTACAGTTTAATCATTTAGTTTCAATTTTTTAATAATCAATAATAATTTTTCTCTTAATACATTATCAAAATGTCCTGCACCGACTCTCAAACTGTATATCTGATCTTACACCCTTTGATTTTCTATTTATTTCATATCCAAGTATGCAAACCGAACTCAATATTATTATTGTTTTCATTATTTATGATTTATGTACTATGTACTGTTTATATCTGGATTCATTTAAAAATGTTAAAGCATATAATTATATTTTTATGTCTATGGAATTATTTTTACACTGTAAATTCACTTGTATCAGCCTCCAGCTGTATTGTTGAATATTCGAATAAAACCTTATCAAATCAAATCAAATCAAATCAAATCAAAACTTTCCAAGAATATTGTCTAAATTGTAAATTTAAAAAATATATTACAGATTTATCTTGATCCTCTAAATATCAAGAGAAGGGGGGCGGGGGCAGGGGTTCAGCTTCCCTGCCCCTCCTCCCGTCTCGTTCTTGGAATGATAACAAATATGGAACTTAGAAAAGTGATCTTTTATGAGTTTCTAGCCAGCTAATTTGGAATATTGCCTTCCCAGTTTAATTCATGTCCTCTTTTATGCCTCCGTTACGAAGTATCCAGAGGCATTATGTTTTCGGGTTGTCCGTCCGTCCATACGTCCCGTTCTCGTGATCGTGTTATCTCAAGAACTGACTGCTGGATCCCTGCCAAACTTTGGTCATGTATGTAACTTGCAGAGCTAATGAACTGATTATTCTTTCCTTATAATTCAGTGGTGAGCAAGCTTTCAAAGATATAAGCATGCAGGTGGGTTGGGCCAGGAACGCGCTGGAAGACAGGATCGGAGAGTTACCGGCCGACATCCCCATCAGCATGATCTATGGCTCCAGGAGCTGGATGGACTTCACTGGAGGTAACCTGGTCAAGCAGTTACGACGCAACTCAAGAGTAGATGTTAGGGTGAGTTCTAGATTGCTAGTACAGTCAAACTTGTCTATAGGGACCGCCCAAGGGAAACACAAAAAGTGGCCTTTGTAGACAGGTTCCTTTAGTACATGATTCAATGAGAAACCTTTTTCAAGGGAAACAGCAAATGTGGCCTTTGTAGACAGGTGGTCACTAAAGCAGGTTTGACTGTATACAGATTGTGAAAAGTGTAAGTGTCCATAAAGGACACCTAGGGGTAAACAGTAAAAGAGGCTGTCATGACCACGATCATGTGGTTACATTGTGTAAGAAACATGCTGTCTGGAATTGGGAAAGGTTGATTTATAGAAGTACATAAGAATTGACATGTACAGTATTTTGGAATGATCAAGAAATGTGCACGGAACACAGAGATTGGTATATGGGACTAAACAAACATGGCATGGAAATTTGGTACAATCTTTGCAGCTATTTCTTGATATATCTTGAATATGAGACTAGGCTGAGGCATTTCTACTGTGACATTTTTCCAAACTGATATGAAAATAATAGTGGGTCAATTGGTTTTACCTGACTGTTATTAAAGTATAGTCACCCAAAGAGAATTCACGCCAACTGATAATTATGGACAAATGATATATGGATGGAAAGATTTTCTCTTGAAAAACAAGAATAATTTGCTGAAAAAATCATATAGATATCGTGAAAAGGCGTAAAATGCAATTTTCTGGCTAGCTGTGTCTCGAATGTGAAGTCACAAATCTTGAAGCTCTACGGAGGACCGCTGAAGACAGAAAATTTGGATCTCAAAATAATTTTTGAGAGGTGATTACTGCAGGCCCCATACATATTTTGAAGAGGGAAGTTATTATATTTGATCAGTAAGGCTTCCCCTTTGCATGATATGAATTTTGCATCAATTCAAAATACTTTTGATTCTTCGGGTGACAAAGAAAGCATGTGTATGCCTTGACGTAAGCAACCAGGGGACCAAAAGCTTCAAGTCCTCTCCTAGGGACTTGGTAATGAGAATTAATGCAAAAGAGAAATGAGAGAGCTTACAAAGTTTGTTCATCTTTACCAGAACTCCACCTTATCTTTCATACTAATCCTGAAGTATATTGTATCAATATTAATCCTCTTGCAGATCATCAAAGGAGCTGACCACCATGTATACGCTGATAAAAGTGGCCAACTCAATACCCTAATCAACACCTTGTGCAAGGATTCAACATGATGAGGCACCATTGCTATACTATCATCCCTCGCAGCTGTTAGCCTCTCATTACCTAGCACAGACTCAATTAAACACAATTCCATACAGCCTTGAACCTAGCCTAACCTTGTCAGTCTGGCTGTGTCCGGTGAGCGTACAGGGCCTGTAGAGTGCATTAGGTTGTTGTTGTTTTAGTTTTTATGGCGTGTATCATTCATTTATGAATATTTACGCATTTAGGCCTTGCAGTCTTTATAGTTTTACTGTCAGACACTCTGTTACACATTCTGACTGACAAGGGGTTTGTGCCTGCAAACTACTGATAACCCTTTCATTAAAAATTTTCTTCTTCAAATTGACGACACATGTATTTTGTTATTTCATTGATGCACCCTTTCAACTAAAAAGTCATAAAACCCGTCTGTACTAGCTTGGCCAGGAGGGATTAGACCACCCAGGGTGGTCACTGACAGGTGGCTATCTCATCAGCTCAGGTCTCAAATACATAAGAAAAAGAGGATCATGGGGGACCAATGGTCACCGATTAGGCATTGGTTTCTATATAGAGGGAGCAAGTAGCTACAAGTAATACAGTGTCAGTGGGGCTTTAATATGTAGTGAAAATAGCAGTGTTATATTTCTTTTAATGATGCAAGTTTTTCTATTACTTTAAATCACATTCTTATTAGATACATGTAGTTGTTTGATGGGCTTTAGAGCACAGAGCTGCGTTACTGCCAACTTAATCAAGGAGTTAAAACTAGGCTCCTTACTTTGAATTGCGGTTTGCTCAACCAAAATCTTCATAGAGTCATTCAGGTAAGGTTGTTGCATTTTCAATCATGACGACTGTTTGATGGAGCTTTCAGACAATGCATTTTTCATTGCATATTTGCCTTTTCATTCAGTCAGAGAAAATGTGATCATGAAACAGAACCTGGGAGAAAATGTTTTTGAGGTGGATGTGACTTAACCATTTGATTCCAATTTTGCTTTTTTTTTTTCTTTCCGTCTATTGTTATCTAAATATACTTCAGGCAAGTTTTATACTAAGGATTTAGTAGAACCTACAATCAAATAAAAACGTCATTCAATATATGTAAAGGACTGCAAGATATTTTTGTAGACAAATAGCAAAGACATTTAGTATGAATGCACCAATTATATCATTCTTCTGGTTTTTTAATAATTCAAGCCGTGTATCGATACTCAATTTTAAGCTCTTTTATTACTATGGTGATCAACATCTCTTTCGTAATCTTTAGAATATTCAGTACTCTTCAAAATTGCCTTATTTTATGTGTAATTTTGTTTTACAGGTGCACAGTTTTGACATTAGATTGAGCAAAATTATTTGTATGACAATTCTTTATTGCAATACTTATGATTGAAATGTTAACTTGATAATGAGCCAAATATGTTTGATGTAAAATGTTTCAACAAACATGTATTTTTGTCATTACTGCAATTGTATGAATTATCTTTATGACGTTACATGTGTATTTATATGTACCAAAAGGCTGTTTATGTGTTTAGTCAGGGAGGTTTCATGTAGCTGTATAAAATAGTTAAGTGTTGAATGATCATGTTATCTACATCATGATGAGATGAGGTCAAAGTGTGGAGGGATTATAACATAAAATCATGTCTAGCACAAATGTTTGGAATATGGTATAGTTTTAAGCAATTTGGATTTTTTGTTGTTGCCAGTAAGATGATGTATAAAGAGAGCCAGGGTCAAGCCTTATAGAATAATATATGGTATATTGGTTTGTGTGATATACACATATTTATTGAAGAGACTGCCTATTGTACTTTCATCTATACATTTGCAGCAGTGGTTATGAGTATTGGAAAGTTTACAGTTAAGTAGCAACTTGTATATCTATCTAGATGCCAATGAAAGAAATGATGAATCAATGGTTTCAACTATCATCATTGTTAAATGACTGCCTTTTTAATTCATATGTACCGTATGTAGAATATTTTTAAAGAGATGTACATACTTGAGATTTATTAATGTAAATGTATATTTATGTAATTTGAATATGTGATGTTTCTAATGTACTTATTTTCAATCTGGTGTGACAGAATTCACAAAACATATAAAATAAAAGAATATATAATTTGAAAGCAAAATGTAGCGATGTCTTCATTAATTCACCATGATGTGGGACGGTATGGGAATTCATCTTATAACAGTATAACGACAAGAAGAATAAGAAAGAATTGAAAGAGGAGTAATACCCCCCCCCTCACAAAAAGAAAAGACATTCAAATTGTGTTAATAAGCATAATGGGAAAAGCGGTTGAGATCAAGGCCTACACCACTACATTTTATCCAAATATGTAGTGAAGTCTCCTCACAAATTATTTTAATGGTACTATGTCCCATTTGCAGGCCAAAAAATGAAAAGGTTAAATTCCAACGGCATTTGAAAGATAATACTAATTTAGAACTTCCCTTAAAAAAAAGGGGGCTTGAAAATGTCTGGGAAAAAGTGGGAAAATAACGACTATTAGTTGTCAAATCGACTTGGGAGCTATAGAGCCAATAAGTAATAGTCTTGATTTTCAGACCGTTGTACTGAATGGTCGTATATGTTTTATGCTGCGCAAAGATTCGATCACTTTAATTTTGGCCATTACAAGAAGTGGGTTATTATAGACAAATGCTCATGTACCCTTTACAGCTCATTTTATGTATATTATTACCAAAGAAGAAAAGCCAGTCAGTCACTCAATAGTGTCTGACAGTGAAGTCTAGCGAGTAAACGGGTTTCCTTGCATAATTTGAATATTAGGACACTGCTAACGTTTAAATTTCACAGATAGGACATACATGACATATTCATAATTCCTGCAAAGTTCTACAGAATTGGGGGTGAGCTGCAAAAGGGACATAGTATCTTTAACATTTTGAATTTTAGAGTGCACTTGCTGTGTTTCAACCTGTAATGTGTCTGAGAATAAGCTAGTTCGTAGATACAATCTGCGCACGGGGGCAGATACAGTCATTTGTACCAACATTGTTAACTCATTGAGACAAATACTGTATTTGTGCTCATGAAAGTTCATAATTATTCATGTTTGCACTGACGGCACATTCTCCTGTCTGATACACAGGTAGGAGTATTCTTCTCAAAAGGGCAAACAAAATATTCATGAAGCACCTCCCTCACTTTGGCAGTGATTATTCTAAGATCTGTAGATATTTGGGGGTCATTTGTACCAAAGTCGACTGGAAGTGGAAGAAAGAAGAGTGGATAAGAGAGAGAGAGAGAGAGAGAGATGGCTTATGAGTGAAGGAACAAAGAAAAAAGGAGGAAAAATAGAGGTTGAAAGGTACAGGGAGTTGGTATTGGATGAAATGAGATTCTGAGAAAAGAAAATATATGATAAACAGGTTGTACAGCAACCTTGGCTCATATTCATAAAACCTTACTACCGGTAAGCCTAGTTTTTAACTATCAATGTATTACATGTATGTGATTAGATGACAACTAGTTTAGTAAGGTTTTATGAATATGGGCCCTGATGTCATCGTGAGCAAAATGAAGTTTGAGGAAGAGAATACATGGAACACAGCATGGGATACATGACTGCAAAAAGAATAAGAGCAACATGGATAGAGGTTGAGCGAGGTGGAGGTGGGGGAGGAGGAGGTAAAGGTGAAATGAGATGAGGTGCTAATGATGTTGATGTGACCATATGCTTTACCAGGCAAACTAAGAGCATCACTGTAATATTCACAATCACATCACATGTGATAGTGAATACAACAGTAACAAAATAATCTTTAATTGCAAGCAATGTAACTCGATGAACAAAATCTCAAGCATTTCACACATTCAGCCGACAGTAGAAGGAATAGGATGGATGAAGCTATGGCATGTACAGACACACAAATACCCATTCTCGTGCAAATACATTGGAAACTCGTTATAACAAGCTCCTTGGGACCAAGGAATTATCCTGTTATATCAAGAATCTTGTTATATGAGGGTAAAAAAATAAAAATATAAAGAGTTGGGACCAGCAAAATCACCTTGTTATAACAGATACCTCATTATATCAGAGCTCTCTATGAGGTTCCACTGTACATGTATTACCATATTGAATATACACACAATATTAACACAAATAGAGACATGTACCTTTGTTGAATTTTATTGTTTTGTAACAAAACATAAACATAACAGACATAAGACACAAAATTGAACGATAGCAAACTTACTATAAATACAAATCTGGGTCAGGCTTATAAAGCTAACCCTTACTCTCTCCAAACTTGATGCAATAAATCAAGTCTGAAATCTTACCGGATACAACATTTCTCCTCTTTCATAAGGTGATTGATTTTATTTAGCTATTCAATAGGCTTCTATAAATTAAAAGCTTGTAATGTTGAACTGTACAAGAGAAAAATAGGAGTGGGTACAATATTTTCTTTTAGCAATGATTGTAGGTGAATTTTGACCAGAGCAAAATAGATGATGCCATCTCTTTCATACCTGAGCTCGTCGACATAAAAAAGTCACTCATTTGAAGAGCGAAACAGATGCATATAAATAGGGAAGATACCATATAAGCATCAAATTTGAAATTGAAATGGGTGATTTGGGATGATTTATGCTAGGGTCACAAAGGGTTTGTACGAACGAAAATTTTGTACGAATCTCCATTTTTCCATTGTCTGAAAATCGTTTGTACGGCGTTCGTAGCAGTTCGCAATGGCATTTGCGACCGAGGCTTTAAACAAAGAGAGTTTTAATGCCAAAATTGTTGAGATGCACTTTTGGAAGAAACACTGAATACATTGCAATTCCAAGGGTGATGGTTTAAAAAGGTTTAAGTATCTTAATGCATTTAACATGTTTTTCTGCCCCTGATTATTCTGGATAGACCTGTTTGAATATATTCTAATTAAATGACTGTCAAACAGTTATTCGTCTGTATTTGATTTTGATGTAATGGAATGTAGAAAAATATGTAAACCTAAAACTCAAAAAATGAGCAGTTCTTTTTTGTCTTCTAAATATTAATTTGCTATAGCAATTCATGTATACATGTACATTAAAACTTCAAATTAAACACATACACCAGCACATATGAACATCTTGTACAAATGCCTTCAGACATTACACATTTTCCCTTTTTGTTTTGGCCCTCCCATCCCTTTACAATATATGTTCATGTATCAAAACAATTTTAGTTTATCAATTTATTGGGGGGGGGGGGGTGGGAATCATGTTTCTAGGGAGCAAAAAGGACACAAAGGTTGCATTCAGAAGCAGAGTTTAAATGCAAATAAAGCTCATTTTCTTTCCCATCGTAAGCCTGCAATTGAAAGTGCATCAACTTATTTAGGCTAAGGAGATTTTGTCTAAAAAAACACTAAATTAAACAAAATTATCCTCATGTTTTCATAGCATCCATTACATCTCGATCAAATATCAAGGCTGTTCTTTGTACGAAAATCCTTCTATGAACAATATCAAGGGTTCAGTGACACAAAGAGGTAACTCCATATTTTGCCAAAATGAGTATTTGATATTGAAATGTTCAGAAAAATGTGGGCTTTCCCGGAAACACAAAGACTTAACTTCACCCAACACCCCATTGAAGTCAATGCCTAGTGAAACATAGACTTAACTCCTTAAGGCCCAAGTGCTCAGTGACACATAAACAACTTTTTGTTGTTAATGGCCAAAATGGAGTTACGTCTTTGTGTCACTGACCCCTCGATATCTCACTACGGCTCTAGGTATGCTCCTTCAAGGAGCCCCCCTTTCAAGTCCATTTAATAGCTCGGTGTCATCTCACATTTTACTTCTTATCCTTAGACTTCGAGTCCTTCTTGTCTTTACTCTTGTTGTTCTTGTCATCCTTTTTGTCCTTATCGTCCTTCTTCTCTTTATCCTCCTTCTTCTCGTCCTTCTTCTCCTCCTTCTTCTTGCCCTCCTGCTTCTCTAGATCCCTGTTCTGGATCTTGTTGTTGATGAGGTTGTGGAGAGCGAGGATGGAGCGGATGAGAGAGGCCAGGTAGACCACCAGCATCTGGTCGTTTGTCTTGGTGGTCAAGGACTTAACGAAGTCGTTGAGGTTCACGTCCGGGAGGAGGTTGAATACATCCTGAGTGGGGGTGGTAGAGAGTGGGGAAAAGAGGATGATTGTAAACTTGAAAGTCTAACCTTGATGACATGTTAAAGGCATCATTTAACAATTTTAAATCTGAGATGCATGGTCCTACGTGTTATCAGTGTCTGTGATAAGGTGAAATATTAAAAAAATTGCGGTTCAAAAAGTAAGAATCTTTGAGAGACCGGTTTTACCATACTCATTTTCCCCATTAGACTGTAGTGTTATAAAAACTGTTAGGAAAACGAAAAATGAAATTTCCATTTCCAATCATAAATATCTTGATAATCAGACAGGTGATCGGCTTGTAAAAGTCATGGGATTCCTGACTGACCTAAAGGTTTATAATTATGATTGTAGCATGAGCTAAATTTTGTTTCAGAATCTGAGGCAATGTTACTGAGTCACTTTAATGCAAATAACTATATGAATTTGTGATATTGTACAATCACCATGACGAAAAAATAACATAATCAAGGCCATTCTGCACACTATATTCAAGGATTATTACCATTTCTGACTATTGGCAAGATTTGAAACAGCATCAACAAGGATGATATCAAAGTAAATATGATAAGATCTAGAGGCCAATAGTATCACAATTCTTTCACAAAAGGAAACTGGGTAAATATTCATGATTTTGCAGACACAAACTCTTGTGCACAAGGTTTGAACCATCAGGGCTGTGAACAAATGTTAACAAATTGCCTACTGGAATCAGGATAGCCCCTGTGTTAAGCCTATGGCAATGAAGGAATTCAGTAGTCACCGGGTTAAAATAGCTACATGTACTGTAACTACCTGACCCAACCATTGTAAAGCAGCTTCATGCAATAGACTATATATATATCTTTAGTTTGAACATATTTGTGGCTAATACACCCAGTAAATAAGATCGATTGATCGATCTGTAATTGAAAAACAAGTCAGAAAAAATCTTGGAACCAGCGGGATTTGAACCTGCCATCTACTGCTTGCCGGGCAGTAACTCTACCACCAGGCCATCACTGGTCCTGGAATTAAAATTAAAGCAATTTTTCCCAGGAAGCATTACATTTATTAAACAAAAAATATATATGTATCTTATTCTAAATTCAGTACAAACCGACAACCAATATCACAGATTTGCATGGTTACAACAATTTACAAGGTACAGCCGGTTTCACCAATCGACCCTCTACATGTTATCTTAAGATCCATGAAGTACTACTACTACTGACCTGTAATTGATAAATGATGGTATGGTTGATGGGTAACTCTCCTGCTGCTACCTTCTGTAAGTAACCACTGATGTGTTGGATCTGGGATTGCAGCCCCTTCAAACCTAACAGCTGGGCCGTGATCCTCTGTGATAACGTTCCTACGCTTGTGTCTTTAATATCTCTATAGAATGAGAAGAGCATAGAGAGAATAAATGTGAAGTTGTGAACCACAGTAATCATTCCTATATAATGCTAAGCAGATTGTTAGTAATATTGGAAAGTAGATATCTTCATGTAACATTTTGAAAAGTGACCCCATACATTTATTGTCCATCTTACATATTTTAGTGTTGTCTTTTCAATCATTTAGATATTTATTCATTTATTGTTTTGTACCAAACATTTGTACTGCTTAGCAGTTACTCACTTAGGATTAGGAACTTCCGAGCTTATGGATGTATTTCACAAAAATAAATAAATCTGATTGATATACCGGTAATGAAAAGGATGTAATTCAAAGTTAATTAAATGTTTTGATCTCCAGAGAAAAGTGATAACGTACATGTAATCCCGCTAAAAATTAACAATACGGTAACTTAAGTATCTATTGTGCATCAGCTCTACACAACCAAGGTTCTTAGCTCAAAGCATAGTGGAAAAGAGAGGTACAATGTAAGAATATATGAATGTACAACAATGGAACAAAGTCAATCATAAAGGTTAATCTACTGAAAAGGCACGATAATCTTAAAGCAATCTTATCGTGAATAATCTGAGGCAATTTAATATATGCTTGTTTGTTTGTTTTACTTGACTGCTAAGAAAGTATGTGTATGCTTGTAAGTAAGCAGCCAGGGGACCAACGGCTTTAAGTCCTCTCCGAGAGACTTGGTAATGAGGATCAATGCCTCACCAAAGGGCACTGACGCATCGACTTAGTTTCGAACCCAGACCTCCCGGTTACGAGACCACTGCTCTACCACTGAGCCATCATGCCTTTAATTTTCTTAACAATTTCTTACCTAAGTAGATGTTCTACTCCTACTTCTTCTGCCTCCTCTGCACCCATCTCACTTGGGATGTGTTCGAACGTCTTACATGTTGGTGTTCCATCCTTAAATAATATGATAGAAATAAGATGAAAAAGACGAGGTTAAATACATATCTTCTACCTATGTTATTTGTTTGTCCATTCATGAAGCTGGTACTGTAGGTGCTAAAAGACCTTGCCAAAAAGTGTTCTGTCTTATGAAAATTACAGAAAATCTAAACGAGGATCATTTTTTCCCTCTCGTTATCTTTATAGTTACAAAATGGTGGATGAACTCTGTTATAATTGCTCTTCAGCCCAACTTTGCATTGGAAGATTTGGAACTGAATCCAAAGTACACCCAACAAAGAACAAATTACATTTGATTGTTAACAATTGTAGTTGTTTTCGATTTTCATTTCCACAAATTTGATTGAGAAATATAAACACTTCATGAAGATCAATATTGAGTTCAGCTTCTTTGATTAGTTTGCAGAAAACTAGGAAGAATCTTATGCTCACTGACAACATTTCTACTTTTCTAGGCATTATTACAAAATTTAATAACTTTAAAAAATAAGAAAAATATAATAACATACCCCAAACCAGTCATGTAATTTGTTCTCCAGATAATATTACATGTGGCTATTAGTATTAGACTAGAGTATAATTCCTCTGTTTGGAGTCATAAGGGAGTTAACAATGTGTAAAATGAATGTAAGTTAATGCCCTTCTGGCTTTAAACAGACAAATAATGTGTCTCTGAATACATGTATGTCCCTCGACTAAAGGAACAAAATACAAAATATGTATGAGTGTAAGAGTGTACTATTACAATGAGAAGGGGTTCTAGCTGTTTGGCATTATTATCCCTCTAACCTCAAACAACACACAATCACTCAAAGCAGGAGAATATTAACAAAAAACAACCAAGATTTACCCATGACTGTGGTGGTTTATTGCATCTCCCATTCTCCAACTCATAACCAATGCCCATGCGCATACATTTACATAATCATTATTATATCCTGCATCAACAATTTGTTGGCTTTTGATTGGTTGAGAGCTCGTCACATGACCAGAAATATTTGAGCTATTTTTAGAAAGTACTATATGAGAGTACTATTTTGGTTTACTATTTGGGAGTTGAAAAAAAAAGTTTTTTTTTTTTTTTTTTAATTGAATCAATTTTTTTTCTTCAAATCTCAATAATATGAAAACAAAATATTTTAAATCTTTTTAGATAAAAATTGACATTTTTTTGGTTCTAAATGTTTTTTTCCCAAAAATGTTTTTGTTTTTTTTTAAATAAATTTTTAATGCAGGATATAAAACAAATATACCATGCCTTCTATTTGAGGTACTGGTTAAACTATGGGCCTCGGTGACTCCAAAAGTACCATTTGCTTCGGGGCTGCGCCCCTCAGCAAATAGTACTATTGGAGTCACCTCTTGCGCATAGTTTTAACCAGAACCTCTCAAAGCAGTGTATATTTGTATAATATGTATATGATTAACAATAGTTAAGATTGGTAATGTACTCACATCATGAACTTCTTCTACTGCATAGTAAGCCTCTGTTGGTAATCCAATTTCCTTAGGTTTCGCATCTATGATACATAATACCTAACAGGGAAAAATGTAGATAAACATATTAGCATTTTATCAGAGTTGGAATACAAAACAGTGTTGAGCTTATAAAGCCACATAATACAGCCACATAATAACTCATTGAGGTTAAGTTGTCTGCACCTATTTCCTCCTCTTAAAATAAACTATTGGTATTCATTATTCTATGCAAATATTGGCTGTTTAAGCAAACTACATGTAGGTTGAACTAACAGTTTCATGCTAGAATTGTCAGTATACTTATCATTTCAGAGTGTAAGGTTCATGATCACTTTTATTGTTTGATGTACATTAATTGACATAAAGAGACACATCATTGCTACAAAAGGCTGATTTCCGTAAAAATGTCAAATCGGAGGTACATGTACATGTACACATTTCTACACGTGTTTAAACAGTATTATTGAAACAACCATTCCTCTATCCTTTAAGCACACAAGTCAATTGATGTATCACATACTGTTTGTCAATAATGTTTATGGTTCTGCCTTAGATGACAAATGACTACTTTACCAGAATACTGAGACACACACTTACAGAGTTCGGGCAGTATTTCCTGATGAGCTCATTGATTGCGATGTCATTCTGATGAAGCTTGGGACCTGTATGGTACCATCCTACAATCTTTTCCCTTGCTAGATGGGAGGACATGAAAAAAAGAAATAAACATATTACAAATCCACAATTTAAAGACCGTCAATACTACTGGGCCAGAAGGGATTAGACCACACAGCGAGGTCACTGACAGGTGGCTATCTCATTAACTCAGCTCTCAACTAACATAAGAAAAAGAGGATCATGGGGGACCAACAGGCACAGACTGGGGAAGTTTTCTATGTAGAGGGAGCAAGTAGCTACAAGTAGGACAGTGGGGCTTTAACAGCCATAATGATTAACTTGTAGCCTCTTATTATAATTGCTTCAAGTGTTGTCATTTCAACGGGTGGATTGGATGCGATTACGACGACTACCATGCCTGCAACGTATAGGCTGCCCTACATGTACAAGTATCTATATAATTAGGTAATAGTATTTTTATCAATGTTGATATCAATACTGATGCTACCTTCATGTAGAAATGCTGATACTACTTTAATGTCAAAATGTACATGTACAAGTACTTCTTTCATTTTCCCCTTCCTTTTCTTAAATTAATATTTTCCGTTGGTAAAGAGGCCCACCATCTGACAATCCATTTTCCACCTGATGTTGCTGCAAGCCTATCATCGCAGGATAGCTTCTAGGAGCTGCTGAAAGAGGCTTCTATTTCAAGGTTCAAGATTCAAACCTCACCATGTGAGGCAATCATTAGCTACAGGTGCCATCAAAGACTACCAAGACTCATGATTGAGATTTTTTCATTTATATATATATATATACCGGTATATATTTTTTAAACAAGTTTTTATTGTATCATTTTCATTTCTGTTACATTACACTGTGCATATAGCATTAATAGAAAAATCAAATGTTCAGTGTTGCCAAATTGAAGTGGAAGAGCTGATTTGATTTAGCATTTGTAAAATCCCTGTCCTGAAGTGATTGTCAGCTTACCATTGACTTTCTTGAACATCGTGTGCATGTTCTCCAGGTAATCATGATCCAAGAACCACACAGAAGTATCTTTGTCATCTTCATCAAATGGAACTTAGCAGAGAGAGAGAGAGTGTTAACATGGTAAATGCGACTAGACATTTCAAAGTGTGCATTTGTTCTTATACAAGACTAGCTTTCCGATCTACCGGTACTCACTACTCACTATCTTGGGAACTCCTTCAATTAGATATCTGTCCCTTCAGAATGGAATTTTAACTTGGTCCCCCTCTAAAAAATGGCGTAACATATTTACAGTACTGTCAAGTATTGTTAACTTTATTTTTAAAAAAAGGGGGGGGGGGACCTCTCAATATACATGTACATGGTACAAACCATTGGGCAACACTCAGTGGGCAAAAACCACATTCTCCTAAACGCAAAATACTTTGAAACGTCAAGCTTTAATGTCCATTTCTTGGGATGCAATGCAAGGGTGTGGTTCTTTTCTGCTACATGTAACTTCTAATCTTACAGGGAGCCTTCCAATTCATATCTACCGGTAATTGATGTTTATCTAACTTGAATGGATAATTTTATTGGCAATTTCACAGATTATGAGACATGACAGACAATATTAAAATCAGTATTTCTTCCACCTTTTAATTTTACCCAAGATGGTTGAAATTAGGATTATGTTCCTAGATAGAATAGTAGGATCATTTTCTACCATTGATTTTATCATCGCATGCCCCTTTCCTGGAGAATCTGAAACTGTACATTAATTATTATATTCGGGACTACAAAAATCATTGCATAAAATCTTAGTTTAAGCATTCATGTACATTATGTTAAAATTGTATTTCGGATGAAAATGCAACTAGTCAATGTAGACCTCGATTACATTATGAACTGCATTTCTAGACATTGAAACAATAGAAAAGCTTGGCAAAACTAAGATGTTAAAACCCAATTTTTTTTAATGATTTTCCAAGCCAGGTGTTGTTAGTAGTATTACGCTACTAACTGTAACGTGACCAACCAACATTTTTAAGTATCACTTAAAATCAAAAGGATTGAATGATAGATATTTCATACAAACACAACTGATGAAGCGTAGAATATAACCAAAGAAATATAATTTCAATAAGGCGTACAATGTCCAATCAAAGATGCCCTTGAAAATGTAACGTTAGTCGTTACTAACCACCATGGAATTGGGCATATGCAATTAGTTAGCACCATGACTGAGCCTGAAATACACAGTAGTCTAGGCTACTACTAGATCTACTTTACTACTGTCCAAATGAAACTCAGGTAGAGTCTATGTCAAGTCAGCTTTGTGAAGTGTTTGTCAGACTCTCTTTCATTTTCAATTTCATCTCTCATCTCAAGAAACGAAGAAAAAAAACATTTTTATTTTGATAGAAATAATGTTACTCAAGAAACTTAAACAGACAGTTCGTTAAAATAATAGTGAATATTGCATTGAACTACAATAACGATACACATATTAAATGCAAATACCATCATTTGTGATTTCTTAACAAAATTATTTGATGTGATTGTTTACCTGCGAAACAATTTGCAATGTCACACACTCCCTGTCTCCACGATCCCAGCAAAACGCCGACGACTCTTCTTTGATTTCGTATCCTGTTGAAATGATCAACGACGCTTAGAAGCACTAGTGGATGAACAACCACTTTCTTTATTTCAATTGTCGGCGCAGACATTATTAACAGCTATTTTAGTGACGGTTTACAATGCCAATTTTTCACACACTGATTTTTGCACGTGTGGGTCTGACGTCTGAGAAGCAAGTTGAAATGAATCGACAATAAAACAGCTGACAAAATTTAAACATAGATGGCGCTATAACACAAAGTTGAACGGGGACCGCGGGTCGAACATGTTTTTTTAAATTTTATTCCAAAAGAACATAGGACCAAGAATAAGATAACAGTACTTTATTCATTTAATTCAAAAAGATCATATTGCTGTACCAAGAAACAGATTTTAGTATTGTACCAAGAAAGAGATAACATTAGAAAATTCCGATCCCTTGAAAGTTTAAAAATATAGAGAAATGTAAAATTGGCACAGGAAACGTGTCTTTAAAAATTTCGTCACTGTTTTATCCGTAAAAACCTATCGTTTCAGTTTACATAACTTTGCTTTTTCTGTATTTCACTATTTTACTGAATGGGGTAGGGCTTATGAAGTTGCCGCCCTAAAAAATCAATACAAATACAATGAATAGAATAAAAAAAATACAACAAATTGATAACATCCCTTCCACAAATTTGTTTGTATTTCTATATCACCACCTAATAATGCAAAAGGTATGCAGAGCTAATGATACGTCTTGTCCTTTTTATACATAGGATAGCTTTCGTGTTACAATTTTATCCTTCTTTTATGACATGAACTTTCTTTCAACTGATATGGATATGCCTAGCCATCATATCTTTTTTTTTAAAGAGGAATTGTTGTTCCATAAAGGGTAAGTGTATAATTATTACAATCAGTGGCGTATCCATCATGGGATGCCCCCTCCCCCTTCAGAAAGAAATCGCACAAAGTGAACCATTAATATCCCAATTTTTTGTGGATTCGTCAGTTGAAACAATCATGATCAGAGAAATCAGTGATCAAACTCAGATTTCAATGCCCACCTCTTGTCACTAGATGGCGCCAAAGCTTTTTCTTCAACCAGGTTCACTGCAACAACTATAACTAGTTCAGTGGTCAGTTCTCAGATCGCTTTATAATTATGGTTATTTAGGATAATTATTATTCATGGCCTATTCTTTGATTCTTTTACGATATTTAGCATTTTTACAATTCGAGCGCATTGGAAGAATTATTGATAAAGTACGTGAAACGAAGAAAGCATGCTTGAAAAAGAGGCCTATAGCATATCATCGTGTTTGGTTATTACAATCTATTTTTGTTTTTAATGTTAAAGTTCGAGTAAGCCTTTTCTAAACAAGTGTCACAAATCTTTGTGGTTTTATTATTGATGTGTACTTCAAAGTTAGAGTCCACATTGTTGGCTTCCATCGACGCTCAATTAAACGTCACAATGGAAAGAGGGCGTGTTTTCGCCCACGTTGTGGTGGTTCATCCTAATTACCCGTGACCGCCAGAGTCTCATAAATCTTTCATTTCGAACATTTTCACCGAATTCTTAAAAACATGGAAGCTTTTATAGTGTTGTGTTCGAGTGAAAGCGAGAGTTAGGTCGGAGGAAATTTTTTAAAAGCTTTAAGAAAGAATTATGACGAGCAACCTTGCATGACCATTATATTCTTATATGTTTTCTTCTTCTTATTATATGAGCATGGAAATAACTAAAAGGATGAATATGAACGATGATGACTATTTGGATTAAGTTGTATTAAATTAAGTGCGAAGGCTCGGAAGATTTTTAGATGACGATAAATATATAAGTGAAATAGGTGAAATATTTATTGGTCAGTACTGCATCATCACAGTTACAATATTTAGCAACACATTTACAGAGATAGAGTGAGAGGGAGAGAGAGTGTGTGAGAGAGAGAGTGAGAGAGAGAGAGAGAGAGAGAGAGAGAGAGAAAAGAAAGAGTCAGACATAGTATATATATAGAGAGAGAGAGAGGGGGCAGAGCAAATACAAATCGTTTTTATTCAGAGAGAGATAGAGAGAGAGGGGGCCGGGTGGGAGAAAAGAGGGCGAAATAGATGAGTAAGGAGAAGAAGCGAGAAAGAGAGAGAGAGAGAGAGAGAGAGAGAGAGAGAGTGAGAGAGAGAGAGAGAGAGAGAGAGGGAGAAAGTCATAGAAAAAAAGAGATAGAGATAGATAATTAAAGGGGGGGGGGGGTAAACAAATGTGGAACAGAGAAAAGAACCATGTGATTTAAGTCGATGTTATAGTAAATCTTCAAAATGTTACACACCATTTTATATCCAACAGGATGCCAAGCTCAATCAGAGCCGACACAATGACGTGTTTGTTTTGAAAGAAGTTGACATTAAAACGACATTTTTATGCCAACATTTTAGACCTCTCCCGAACTTATTATGGTTGTCGAACTATCGAGGGCTTTTCGTGTTCCAGCGGCCTTCCGCATCACGCAACAAAACCATTTCGATTCTATTTTGCGCATTTCTACATTCCTCCTGTTACCCATAGCTATCTCTCATCTTTTTCTTTCATCTTTATCTTTCATCCAGCACGACTGCCCATCAGTATTATTCCATTGATAAAAGCCATTCCATATCCATACTATCTCTTGCTTATCGTATATGCTCTCTCTAGTGTGACTATCACATTTTTTTTTGTTGATTTGTTTTATTTTGCTTTCCGATGTCCTCATTATCAATTTTACAGTTAATTTGAACCCTGACTTTGACGAAGCATGTTGAAAGTTAGGCTTCCTTGGAATAATTCCAATTTAATAGTTGTGAAAATTTTATTCATGTTTTTCATATAATGTACCTAAACTTTTGTTGGGTATATTGATATCTTTTTTGTTTGCATTGATAGCCTGATGTTCTTTCACGGGTTAGGATGGCGGGAAGGCTGCAATGATTATTGTAAGAGATAGGAGAAATCATTTATGTAAGAAGTTCAGCCTGTAGCGTGTTATATTTGATATCAGTGTATATTATACGTAATTATATATATATAGGTTTTCCCGCCCAATTTCATCAGAGTTGCATCCGATTTAACGATGCGATCATTCAGTTTCGAGCGAATTTGAATGATCACCGAGATCAACATTCAAAAAGCTAATTAGTTCTTTCAATTTAATTGTATAAGCATGCAATTTCATGATTTTTTTCACATAAACGTGTAAAAAGCGCGTTCAAATTAAAAATGCATCGCCCTGATGACCGTTAGGGTATTCAAATTGACGAATAGGCAAGCAATTACAGCATTTGGGCAGTCTTTTTCTGTTACTGTTTATATTCTTTGCAATCTGCATCTCTTTGAATTAATTATGCAAACTTTATGTACCTTGAAATGGGACCTTTCCCTTATAGTGAAATATCTCATTCTTCTGACAAACCGTCATGCAAACAAATCATGATTTATAAACCATTCTGTAAGTGTTATGTCGATACTGCTAGGGAATACAGTGAAACTTGGAGAGAAGATTAGAAAGAAAAGAAATATATAGAATATGATAAAAATAAACATTATGAAACTTTAAGAATGAAAATTAAGTTATATAATTAAAAACAGTGAAAGAAAAAAAAATGACGTGAAAAGATTGCGGTAAAAATGAAATAGAACTACAGAACTTGTTTATGTTGATTTAATTTGAACGTTCAAAGTGCGAAGGTGTGTGCCTATATAAATGAAATTGAAATTGGTATTAAGCACGAAATTGAACGTCTATCCAGCTTGCGCGAAATTGAATGACAACTTAGCGGCACTAAATTGAATGGATTTCTCTCTAAATTGAATGAAATACAATTTAAAAGGAATGATATAAAATTAAATTAAATGCTCAAAGAATGAACTCGAACCATGAGAGCAGAGAGTTGATGAAAACCGTTCGAACTTGAACTTGAACTATTCATGAAGTCGAATGCAACTCTGATCAAATTGGGCGGGAAAACCTATAGTATAATTGTCACCAATCTATTGTATACGTAACGTTTCTTCTCTTCTAAATTTCATATTAAAATCTCCTTTGCTTGAGATACATGACCCAAGGCATTTAGTATTGTGATGTATTGGGCAAGTCCGTGATACAATGCAGAGACGCTTTCGTGTTGTGTGGGCTCCTTGCTTTACTCCAAGAAGAAAATCTCTAGGATTTTTCTTTTGCAGTTGAGAGAAAGGCAGTCGCAATAAAAAATACTTGGAAGGTTTTTAGAAGAGTTCGTCACCTCATCGAAACACGAAACAGATCCCGTCTTGGTATTGGAATAAGTTTTTGGAAAATGTAAGTTTTAGCACGCACGTATGCCTTAAAAAAACCTCGTCGGTATATAATTATATACGTTCATTCTCTCTTCTTCTTCCTACTTCTTTCTTTCTGGGCCATTCGGGTTGATAGTTCGGCTTAATTTGCTATGGTATTTAAAATTGAAAAAGACATGAATTTACGTCATTAAGCAAGTAGTTCGGGAGGTGCACAAGGAGTTGTCGCCCACAAATTTGAGTATGTGATTAATATTATGTATATTTTATCAACTTTTATAATATCTGAGTACCTTCGTGATAGCTTTTATATTTTGTGATATGATTGGTGTTTTAGGGTGGAGAAGCAGGGGAGATGGCTACAACCTTGCTCCACCGGAATCGACAACTCTTTTACTGCGCATATTATGATGTGTCGTGGTCTAGTGGACACGTTACCGGAATATGGATCACAAGGTTCGCGGTTCGAGACATGCAGCCGCGGCAATAGTGTCATTTGGAAAGACATTAATCTCCATTTACCACTCTCTACCCAGATGAAGTAAATGAATACCCGGTAGGAACTTAGGAAGAAATCCCTTGAATTCTTTAGCGCCTTGTGTAATATTATGGTGGCTCAGCTATAGCCGGGATACTAGATTGATACTTAGTATTAAGCGCATATGGAGTATAATTATTCATAAACATGTAGTAGCAATACTATATAAACGGAGGGGCACAGATTAAACTAAACCCAATCAATTACTGATATATAAAATCAAATTAATTTGTTGTTATAGAGAAATAACTCGATGGTGAAAATGATGAAAAAAGAAGACATAATTATTTAAGTTTATTTAGGATGACAATTCATTCCAAATCCTGGAGTCGAGACCAAAGCCCTCCTCCATCTCACTCGTCTAATGGTCGACCTCCTCAAAG